ACTTTAATTTAGATGTCTCTTTGATTTAGTGTTTTAATTTCTATATGTGATACAGACACATGCTTTCTTTGCAGTTACCTCTTTGTGCTGCAACAGTAGAGCTGTTCCTTAGTGACTGTATCTCACTTCATGCTGAAGGGCTTCATATTATATAAATCACTTTAAGCTATACTTACTTTATTCTTAATAAACATGTTAGAAGTTCAGAAAAACAAATCATGGGTGAGCAAACCTGGACATATAGTTGGTTTGTAACTGAAAATAAGTTCAGGAGATCTTAGTTTACTATGACTTCTTACATTACTACTTCTCTGATAGTAAACTAAGTGGCCACTATATTATAGATACAAACACACAAAATATATTGCGTCTATAATAATACTTAGAAATAAATGCCTATTTATTATTGATGAAGATGCCTTTGAACAGTTATAATATGAAATTGGCCAAACTTGTGCTTGGAGAACACTTGAAAGGCCAACCGGAGTTGTGTGAGACTACTGTATTTCAGAATGGCTTTTGGAGCTTCCTCCTTGTCAGGTCTACATGACGCTATTAAAGCATCTCTTTTCAGAGAGCAGCAGCAATAATCACCACTGTGAAGCTTCGACGCTTATCTCGAGAAACACTTGCAATGAAATGCAAACAGGCTAGATTGCAGCCTCACTTTTTCAAAGCCTGTGATAAATAATGGGCATGAGGTTCTGCTACTGCTTGTAGGGTGCTAGCTTTGTCCTGAAGGCTCTCACTGCCTGACAGTGAAGAATTAAGAAGGGGGATGAACTAAACAGAGGTCCAGGTGCCCAAGGGACTAAAATAACCCTATCCACATATTGAGCAGGGTTGCAGCCTATTCAGTAATTACCAGATGGCTAGAGTATTTAAGCAATGAGAGGAGCAGAGAAGAATTCAGACCTGCATTATGAGACAATCCAAAGTCTTCACCCTGTTCAATAAAGAAGGAATTTGAGACAAGTTGCTTCATGGCAACAATGGTCATATTATCAGTGTGACTTGCAGGTTGTAATGGCATCACTGGTTAGAAATCACATTATTACTTATGCAAGTTGAGTCATGTTACTTAGGCCTACCACTTTCTGCTAGAAAAGTCTCACCAGTTTTCGATTTCAGATTCCAACCCAATGCACTCAACTGGCATAATGTCAAAGGAAAAAGAGGAGCTGAGGACTTTTTAATAGAGGTCACTTTCGGGTAAATGAAGGACATTCTATTCTTCCATAACCTTTCCTAATTCTAACCTTTGCTTAGTCTTGATGTTTAATCCCTTTCTGCAGGTGTTACCATGTTTCTCATGTCCCTAGGAGAGACCTAAACTTGTGATCCGATCATATAGGTTAGCTTATTTAGGGAGCTTATATCCTTTAAGAGCAAAAATCAGAGTGAACTGTTTGTTACAGAATGTTTATTCCAGATACCTGAGGAAGTATTTCTGTGTTAATTGAGCAAATTGGATGATCAAAGGAGGACATGTTGTTTGTAGTAGTAAGATCGCTAAATGCGGTCTGAATCGATACTGTATTCCCCTTATTACCTGGTTAAGGATAAATAATCTTTTCACACAGAGCTCTTCTACACGGTGTAAGGAAAGATACTACAGTGATATAGAAAGGGATATAAGCAAATACAAGAGCTATGCTTATCTTGTTTTCTTATAATCATACATGCACAGACAGAAGAGAACTTCATAAAGAGGAAAAAGCTCAACACTTGAGTCATTTGACTTCCAATTCACATTTGACCAACTCCCTTTCTCTCTATAAGGGAGCAAGGGAGATCCTTCCCGGTGACAGCAAAGGTGCCCAGATCAGCTGACTGTGTGCACAATCTGAATAAACGTGGCTCGAAGCAGGTTACCTGAGCCATGCTTAAAGGGGAATCATTCAACCCGAAACATCAAAAGGGGGCTAACTTCCTCTACAGCTAAGAGGAACATGACTTGCAGTCTAATTGCAGATTATTGTAACTGGACAGGCAATAGGGCATAATCTTAGAGAAGCAAAGAACAGAGACCTGAGCTCTGATTACACAGGTCTTGCAACACTCAAGATGAAAGAGATCAATGTCTGCCTCTCTTGACAAGAGGAATAAGGCTTTTGCATTAGTGACAAGACTGGTCCCTGTGAGTATGTAAATGAGATGGCTCAGTCAGAATAAGGAGGGCCCTTTCTACATGGTGCTTGCATTAGTTTTTAAATTGAAGTCATGATGCCCAGGCAGGGAAAAGAGCTAGATATTTGGGCTAGCTAGGCAAAGGAGCCTTCTCTTTTACTTTTCCTTCCTGCCTTACTCTTTTTTTTTTTTTTTTTTGGGGGGTGGTGGTGGTGATGTGTGTTGAGGGAAAAATATAAAAGACGTTGGTAGGAAATTGGTAAAACATCAATAACATGAACTTCTAGAAGAGGGGAGAAAGATTAGGTAGGGAGAAAACACCCATTTGAAATGGATTTATTTTTCTGTTGCTCTTGCTGGATCAATAATTTATTGATTTAATGGCAGTAAGGATGTCAGTGATCAATTCTTGACTTGTTAGAAAGCATTTCCTTGTAATAGTTTAAAAAAAAACAACAACCAAATGCTTCAACCATTCTGTAGAGTAGTTTAGAATCTACTTTTGATTTTGGTGCTTTTCATGTATGTTTAGTGAATGCCAATAGTGAGAACAAAGCCTAAAGATGGTGTGACACATGAAAACATAAAACAGTGGTCCATATTGAGGAAGGCTTTCCTCTGAAGTCTAATTCTGTCTAGACTAAATCAATTGTAGAGGTTATTTGGATTACCAGCAGTGGAGCTTGCTTTATTTTGCCTGCATCAGCAAAGCTTCAAACCCTCTTTAGCAAAGCTTTCTCAAAAGCCTGAAGGTAATCTAGGTATGTTAGGACTTCTATGTTTACTACTGATGATTAGATATTTCATACGCAAGGGTTTTTACTGAAATAGGAGAGAGATCTTTTTCTGTGAATTCTGGTTTTCAGGATAACACTTAAGATTATTTGTCAAGAAAGATGTGTTTATAAAGACTAAAAAACCAAGAAGGCTGAGTCTCCAGATTGTCTCTTCTTGAATTAGTTTCTTCTGAGCGGCTTGTCTGCAACAAAAATGCAGTCTCAGTTTCTGTTGTCCAAACACAAAAATTACTATGCTTGCATAACACTTGATTATTAAAATTCAAATGCCTTCCTGAAGAGACTTAAACTTTAAAGATCAAATATTAGCACAATAAGTGAATATATTACAATTGTTAGAGAAGTATTTAATAACTAAGTCTAAATTCAGTAGCAAGAAGCTTTGTTTCTGCTTGTGCACATCTTCCCTTAGACTGTGAATTCTTGTTTTGTCAGATCTTGATGGGGATCTTCCCAGGGAAAATAAAAAGTAAAAAAACCCCAAAACCCCAGCACCTCTCCCTTCCCCAAACCTGTCATTGTAAGTTATGGAACTTGCTTTCTCTACAGTAGGGTCACTATATTTAAGCATTCAATTTTTCCTTTGTCTCTAATAAAATTAGAAACAAGAATAGCAGACTGTGTCTCTATGGAAAGTGTTTGTGGTTTGTATACTTACAAAGCTGTAAGATGGAAGGAGGGCAGGCAGCTGAAAGATGTACAGCAGGGATCTCAACATTTGTATTTCTAGGGTAGTATACTCTTATCCTGGTAGAGCTTATCCATACAGTGTTATTTGTAGCAGTCTTTTATATAAGGATAGAGGCCCTGTGCTTTCTTGTTGTGTAATACTTGTTCACTTCCCCTATTCATTACTTAAGGGACTAAAACCATGTCAGACTAACAGAAATCACAGCCATTTTGATTTGGCTTCTCAGAATGTGCAACAGATTTACTTCATCTGGTTGTATTTCTTGAGGAGAAGCTTTTGCAGTATTTTTTCTGTTTTGTGGAGACCTGCGGGATTCTCCTGGGGATTTAAATGCTAAGCTAGCACTTCCTGTCATTCATGGAGTTACATTTGGTGGCAGAACTGGGTCTTAAGAATGAAAACTATCATAATTTATTTTTAACATGCCTTGTTTTTTCCACTCAGATTCATTTGCATGTTTTAATGGAGGTGAATGTGTCTACAGAGAGCTGTGCAACTGCAGTCGATTTAATGCAACTGGACCAAGATGTCAGACAGGTGTGTAAAGAGAGAAAACTAACTGGGTTTCTGGGATTGTACTGGATTGATTCCCACAGCTACAAGAATGACTGCCTTCTACCTAAAAGTTCCTTCATGCCCTGGTATTTTTCCCTCTTTTCGGTGGTGATATTTCATAGCATACCACATACATGCATCTCAACTACAGATTGAATCCAAAAACCAGTGGTACTTTTCAAGTGACTCTCCTTCTGTTAGTGTATAATACAGGTGCTGAAAGAGATCATATATGCAGAACATGGGGTCAATATAATTTCGAAACTTTTGATGGACTCTATTATTATTTTTCTGGGAAATCCACATATGCGCTTGTGAGACATACTGAATTAGATGAACAGAGTTTTTCCATACAGGTAGGGGACTGCACTTCTATATTCCTTTTAGCTGTTGGTGAGCTTGCTAATAATGTTTAGGCATTAAAAATAACTTGTGATGATAGTATGAGGTTCTAGAATGTAATCTAGATGTAATTCTAATGTAATGTGGGCTACTGGTTACTATAGCACAAAATGTAAATAGCTGGAAGGAAACTGACGTGTGTACTTCCAAAACTTGCTGCTGCTGTGAAAAGACTATTCTAAAGAGATGGCTAACTGTACTTAGTTTTTTTGGGAAGAGTGGGACCAAACTACTTGTTCATATGCTGAGGGTAGGATTGGGAGTATTAATTGTGTAATGTGGGTTACAAAGAGTTTGATTAAAATCTTGACTTTGATGCTAGTAATTTTATTTGGCAGGTGAATAATGATCCTGAGTGCCTCCATTCTCCTTATTCATGCAAAAGGTCCATTAGTTTATTCTTTTCTGGAGATGAGCAGATAAAGATGAGCAGTGAAGTCACCTATAAAGGATTTGGGTAATTACACTCATGTTTCTGATGCTGTAGTTATGCTGGAACTAATCTCATGATACGATTCGATAAGAGATGTAAACTAGAACACTTATTTGTTGGCAGCATAAAATAAAAAAATTATCCAGACCACAGGTGTAATAATTAGTCACCATCTACAGAGTAGTGTCTGATGAAGGTGATATCTAAATGAACGGTACAGAGTATTGAGAAGCATAGCCATTGATGTTGATACTTTGATTTTTTGCTCTTAGTTGCAACTTCATCTTTTTTAGTGGAATTACTAAGGAGTATTCAGATACATGAGAAAGTCACTAAATCAGCAAGAAATTTATTTTTAATAGTGATACTTTCTCATGTGAAGTTGTTTTTGATTCTGTCTCATTTCTCAGCGTACAGTTACCTTATATTATTGGAAACTTACACATCCAGAAGCTAGCTAGCTACTTCCTAGTCAGGCACCAGTATGCCTTTACTCTGGCTTGGGATGGTACATCTGCAGTGTATATCAAAATGGCACCAGAGTACCTGGGCAAAACACATGGACTGTGTGGAAACAACAATGCTATCCTGCAGGATGATCTTGAAACTAGTTATGGTGAGTATTTAAACTACTTCCTCTTGTGTTAACAACTTTTTTTTTTTCAGGTGAACTAAATGTTACTATGCTTAATTTTTAATTGTAATGCTAATTGAATATGAGGGCCAACTTTTGAAATGGAAATACTTCTGGTAGATGATATTATGACTGAAGAGGGCCATTTTCAGTATAGAGGGGGCTCTGAGGATCTTTAAAAAGCATGTCAAAAAGCTGTCTTATTCCATTACCTAGAATTGTATTTGTACTTCAGTTTCCTAGGACTCGAAAGGTAAAATACACTTAAATGTTCACTGCCCTCTCAAAAATTTTATGTAGGAGCGTGTGGAAGCTTGAGAATATTGCTATTGAAAATAAATCTGCAATTTTAATTAGTAAATAAGTGAAGACTGACAAACCTTGTTTGATCTGGCGCTTCGTTTATGCTAACACTTACAGAAGTGATCAGTGATCCTTGGATACTGACTTCAGATACTTCCAAGAGTCTTGGTTTTTAATAAATACTGACTGAAGACCTCTATAAAATAAAAAGAATCAGATGGAAAAATCAGGCCCCTTGAAAACTATCTCAAGTTAGTTGATAAAAGCTTCTGGAAATCATTGCTTTGGGCTGTTTAACTCTTTGTTGTTCTTCTTTAAAATTAGAGTATTTCTGTAGAGTACTACTTTAAAGATCAGAGTACAGTATGTAGTAGGCTACCGCTGTTTAAGTGTGCCAATCAATTTTGGAAAGCATCAGCACTGCACTAATATCAGCTCTTACCCCCATTGAATAGTTTGCTCACTAATTCAAAATGCTTAAAATAATACCACGATCAATAGATCATTGTCCTCATTGCCTTCAGAGACTTTACTCTACCCTCTCACCTTTCTCAGGATATCTCAGTCACATAAAGCTGTGATTGTAGCACAAGTCGATACACTGCATACTAGCTTTATCCAATTAGCTAGGGGAGCAGTAATAATAAAGATATGGCAAGACATGCATTTGTGGGTAATCCAAGTCGTAGTCGATGTTGTCACTCATCTGTGGTGGACAATACCTTTCTTAGCTAGTTTAAAGCTAGCGCGGACATTTCTGCTTATGTGAAAAAGTTACGCCTTTACTTGGTTAACGTATACAATCATTTTGTACCCTTGCAGTCACCCAGGAATGCGTCATCTTTCTTGTAGTTTAGACTCTCTTTTGGGAGTTTCATATAAAGTAACAGCATAGACCTATGTATATACAGTTTATTACAGCTTTTCTTTCCTTCCTTCCATTGAAGGACTACTCCCTAAAGCCCTTCCTTGCCAAATAGCATAAGTTAGCTTCTTTCTGCCATTCTAAAGTTTTCCTACTATAGTCCTTTTTAAAAGTATTTTTGTTTCTTAAAAGGACTAGATTGTCTTCAAACTAACAGCTGATTCATTTAGTTGTAGGAAGGGTTTGGCACTCTACTTAATGTGATGTTTTGATTATTGAGATGTTTGCCCAGGAAATCCTATAGAAATGTTGTTGTTCTTCCAAGTAACTGTAACTGTGTGTGTCTTGTTTAGGAAAACTGACAGATGATGTAACAGAATTCGGAGAGAGTTGGCAGGAAAATCCTCCAGAAGGAACACCCAATTGGGATAAATCTCTTCTCAATGAACCACCCTGTTTGATGCAAAGCCATGAATCTCTACAGGTTTGGATTAACACAAAAGGATTATTACAGTAGTTGGTGATTCTAATTAGAGTGAGATTTTGACTTAATGCTTTGAAGGAGACTGGAAGTATTCTCAGTTCATCTTTGGAGAGGCGGATAAAAATGGTTGCTGCAGCAGAGCTTCCCTTGTCTCCTCCTCCTTCCCCTCTCTCCCCTCCCCTTTTCTTCTGTATTAGTTCATAATATAATTTTTGATCTTTTCAAATGTTATATATGCATCCAATAGAAGTGTTTGAATCTGGGGCTAAATGAGTGAAAAGTTGTCAAGTAGGGGTGCGTTCTAGAGCTGCTTCCCATTCCTTCCCTTAGGAAGGATACAGAAAAGCAGGCAGGCAAAACCAGAGTGAGAGCACGGTTTATTTGCTAGTGTTTAAAAAATGAATTATTGTTACTTTTGTCCATCACATTGAAGTAGTTTTTCTTTTTAAGTAATATTTTCAAGATAGAACCTTGAAATTAAGTGCTTTGAAACTAAACCTGATGCCAGGCATGTTTTATTTCTGGTATCTTTTACTGTGTAATTTAACTAAAATGCAGACTATTTCAGGTCATCTGGGCTCATCTGCAACATGGTCTATGCCTTTCCTGGGGAAGGGATATGTATTACTACCATTGGTATGACCTTGGATAAAACATTCCAGGTTATGAATATTCTGGCGTGGAGAGCAATATGTTACTAGCCACTGCTTCTCGTTGATGAGAGTAAAGTGATTCCTAGTCAGACTGACATGTCTGTTATGATTTTCTGTAGTATTCTGTTCTGCTTAGGTTTATTTGAAAACATTCTTTTCACAACCGCTATCTCATACATTTCAGAGGGCCTACACTCTGTGTAATACCCTGTCACGTCCCCCGTTTGAACAATGTCATGAATATGTGAGTCCTGTTCCTTTTATGGCAAGCTGCACCAATGATCTTTGCATGTAAGTGAATGGTTTTAGGTAATTACAAAGCTGTTATAAAAAACATTGTCCCTCTATCATGAGAATGAGTTGTAAATGTTAACAGAACTAATGTGTGTCTTTTTCTGCATATCAGTTTTTATCCAATATTCTTTTATTTTCTTGGTTTTCTCACTTGTTCTAGCTTTACTGCCAGAAATTTCTGTGGAGTCATTCCTGTTTTCTTTGGTGTAAGGATGACCAAAATCGGGCCAAGATATTTTCCTAATTTGTTAGTGTACTTTCCTTTGAATATGGCATCTGTTTTGATTCCAAGTGTGCAACATCATTAGTATTTCTAACTTTAATGAAAAATTTGGCATCTGCAAGCCATGTGTTAATCCAGTGAAAAGAGGAATTCGATTACTATTTGGATTTATGCTATCATTTCACAACCTGCTATGCCCCTTGTCCAAGCAGTTTTGACTAGTTAAATCAACAGACAGGACAAGAGAAGATAATTTCCATTTCTTGTAACATGGTGACTCACTGGTGGAAATCTTACACTTTCTTCATGTGAGTTTTCTGAAAGTTGTTATTCCTTCTCTAAAAATACATTTATTCATGTCTGTTTATACTGCTGTATCTCTGGCTTTCATGGATTTACTCAAGAAATTAGCATCAGGTCTCAAATACATTGATGACCTGTCTTCAAGTGTGGTAGAATGTCTTACCCATTTAAGACTTCTAATCTAGCAAAATAACACAGTACATTAGAACATTATTAAAGTAGATTCAAAGAATGTGGTTGTATGCAATGCAGGAGCATTCATGAGGTTATGATTGCATGTTTGAATGTAGGCAGAAAATAATATGTCAATTTTTATTTGTGTAAGGTCAGCAGTTGATAATGCAACTTGGTGTCGAGCATTAACTGAATATGCCAGAGCATGTGCCCAAGCAGGAAAGCCACTTCATGGATGGCGAATGCACTTTCAGCAGTGTGGTATGCAGATGCTTTCATACTTGGAAATACTGCTCAGTAGTTGTATTTTGAAAAGTGTTCTTCATACTTTTGCCTCTTTGCCCTTCCTTCTGTTTTGAACCCATATAGTTCTCAATGAAAGCATAAGTATGTACTCACTTCAAGGCTGCATGAATGCAATGGAATTTCTTTTTTATATGCGTAGTTTGTGCTGAATGTACTTAAAGCACTACACTTACTAGAATGTGTTCTAAGAACCTTCTTACTAAAACATCAGAGATTCTTTAAGATGATTAACCATTTGTTTTTTCACAGAGCTACTCTTTCAAATATTGTTGAAGTCTTCATGGCTTTCTGATATATAAAATTTGTGTCATGAGTGTTAAAAACTAATTTGAGTTATACTTGCATATGTCTTCACCTTAGAAGTCACAGAAAGAAAGTTTGAAAGAGATCATCCAATTTGCCTGCTTGTGTGGAACACAGGACCAAAACTGCTTTGTCATTCCAAAAACGTTTGTTAATGGATGTTCTACCACTTCCTGTGCTGGTCTGAGTATCTGAGTATCTAAATAGATCTGCTGTGAGAAAGATTCCCTGAGTCTCCCTTGGTGTAATTTAAGATTGTGCCTTCTAAATGTGCCTTTAATAGGCAGAATATGAATATATGTTTATTTTGTCTGTGTTATGAAAGCCATTATTTCATTGTTCTAGACAACAGATACTCAATTGACTTACCAAAAACTAAATACCTGAAAAAAACATGTGCAATCTATTTATGCCCTAAGGCAGTAGCAGAATACCTTTTAATTTCTCTCCCTGTTTCTATTTTTTAGTGATTACCTGTGCTGAACCCTTGACCTACAATGAATGCATCAGCTGTTGCCCTGTTTCATGTCATCAACAATCACAGTGCATTGACAGTGAGCTTCCCTGCATTGATGGATGCTACTGTCCAGATGGTAACTTTTGCTTCTCAAATACATATTATTTGATTCTGTGTAACTTTCAGATTGTTCTCCTCCACGTTTACATACCTGTATGGCCTGGCTAGACTAAGGCATTCACAGGAGCTCTTCATAAAGGCAGTGCCAACAGAGTGTGGATGAGTGACCTTGTTTTCCTTGTAACTGATGAGTCTTTTTCTTCCCTCTAACAAGTGGGCATAGCTTTAAGCACAGATCTACATTCTAACTGTAGAGCTCCAAAATTTGAGTGAAAAATGGGGTTTGCTTTGTTGTTGACAGGGCAGCCATCTTCTGTTTTGTGAGGGTTTTGTTTGGTGTTTCAGGTTTTTTTCTGAAGAATGTCTGCAAGGTCAGGTGCTTAAGAGAGCTCAAAAATGGGATATGACTAAAACTCATTTATGTGGTCAGAAACAGGTTTTGATATTGAGATTCTTACACTGTTGTATGGTTCTGGCAAATGAGGTATTTACCTATGTGGCTTATAGCAAAACTTTACACTTACTAACAAAGTATACTTTGATGTCCAGTTTTCCCATTGTTATTGACTTCTCTTGGGTACATAATTCTGTCTAAAAGAGGACAGAGAAAGATATGCCACGTGTCTTCAAGTCCTGCCTCTTATGATGCCTTAACCTGATGATTTAGAAGTATGATGCCTTTGTTATACGTTTTATCTTTTATGGGCTAGTAAGGTCTTTTAGCTTTTGGCTCTCTAGGAACAGAATAATTAAAAAGAAACTGAGCGGAAAAAAACATAATAGTAAAATAAAGACCAAATGGCACCTTAAAACATAGAGGCAAATATTTGTGAAGGTGTCAGGAAAGAAGCCAGAGGTACTCAAAGCAGCATGGCTTTGTGTTTGTGTGTTTGGTTTTGATTTTTTTTGGAGCAGGGGGGAATGACTACTTCTCCTTCTCCCTCAGTGTTAAATCCTGTTATTCATACTATTGTTAATGTAGCTCAAGCAATTTAGGGACTTGGTCAGTGTAGTATAATTTATTTAATATACTTTAAATGCACACGTGTTCTCCTAAAATTACTACCAAATAATCTAGAGTTTTATTACCATACATCGGTTTGTGATGTTCTTGGGTATACTTGTTAGTGTTCTATCAGCTATTTGACAGATATTTCACTGCTTGCTTGTTGTTTTATTTCTCCTAGGCTTAATTTATGAAAATGAATTGTGTGTCAAGCCAATGGACTGTCCTTGTGACTACCATGGAAGTTTCTTTGAAATAGGTTCAGTGGTTTATGAGGAATGTAATAACTGGTTAGTAATTTTTCTTTTTACACTGTGGACTTAATCCTTTCATGGTCATGAGACAACTTCTTTAAGTTCTTTAAGGCCTATTTCAGTTAAAAATTGAATAAAGTTGATAAATCCTCACTGTTTCTACATACAAAAACTGTTGTTCTGTATATGTTTTGCAGTGAAGGGAAAGATAAAAGAAACTATAGAGCTATTAATGTGGAAGAGCAAATGGCAAATATTGCAGAGAATACTGTAATGTTTAGTACTCTTTTCACCTTGAACTCTCCCTCAAACTAAAAGGAATCTAGTATTCAAAATCTTAACAGGAGAATTACTTTGACTTTGTCTCCTGTTTGTGTTGTCTCACTTGGACAGAAAGAGCCTAATGTCATTATCACACTAAGCTGCTGTTTTGGGAATTTCTAAATTCATTCTCTACATCGGAAAGAAAAGTTTGTAGAAGAGATTATGGCTTTTATTGGATCAACTTAATTGAAGAAAACAGATGAGCTTGTGGATGTGTAACTTCTTTTTTTCACAACAGTTCTATTTTTTAAAGTAATAATATTAAAAATGCTTGTGTTTGCTCTTCTCAATTTTAATCATCCTTAACTTTTATAATGGTTATGAAGGCACTAGAAAGAAGGAAAAGTGTTACTGGATGAATGGATGAAATTTCACCTGATCATATCCTCATTGCAAGCTCTTGCCACAGCTGCCAGGCATTCTAGGGACTGTGATAGCTCTGCTGTACTCTTTTGTGAGTCTCAAGACACTTGGTGTTGATTTCATAAAGAAGGAATCCAGGAAGAACAACTGAGGGACAGCCATACATACTTCACCAAAAAAAAGTGTGAAACCTTTTTGTTTTTATTTCAGCACTTGCATTGGAGGAAAGTGGATTTGTACAAATCTTACATGTCCAGGTATATGAAAGTCTTGAGTACTCTTTTAATAACTGAATTTTTACTTGCGGTAAAATACTACTGTTAGATCTTAATGTGATATTTCACTATATAATTTGTACTTTTATTTCTATCTACATATAAACGCATCTACGTACACAGTAGGCTAAATATTAAAGTGGTCTGAATACCAGGCATCTGCCTTTCAGCTTAGCACAATGATGTGTCTCCCTATACATCACTATAGTGTCTCTGGTAGGTGGCACTGCCTGATCGTTCTGGTCATTCAACTAAAGTTTCCTCTGCAATCTTCACTTCACAGACTCATGGCAAGATTACTTCCACCCCCACACCCAGTATTTCTAGCTAGCAATGTAGTATCTAGGCATTGTACAAATATCAGTTAATTATTTTCACAGTACCCTGTGGAATGAGGGGTGTTATTCTCACTTCATGGATACGCAGCTAAACTACAGAGATTTTGGTCAAAAGGATGTTGCGTGTTCAAGGTACCCAGGGCCTCATGGCTCTTATAGCTGCTAATAGATTCAAGCACTGGTCTCAGAGTTAGCAGTTAACTGTGGGGGTCAAATACCCAGAACATAAGGGTCACAGATATTAATGCATCATCCTGGGGGAAGAATTGTTTAGGGATCCTGACCTGGCACCAGCTAGGAACTCGTTACCAAAAGCAATGATAAGGTTCAGTTCCTAACAGTGTTCCTAGTACCTGGTTATGGTATGAATGCAGTTTTAGAAATTAGAGCATGTATCAGAGTGTACGAACTCTACAGCAGTAATAATTGTTGAGAGTACTTTGTCTTTTCTATGTACTTAAACACATTATTTGTTACGTTTGTCAGCTGAATGCTCGGTTTCGGGAGACGTTCATTTCATGACCTTTGATGGGCGCAAATACACTTTCCAAGCTACCTGCCAGTATATTCTAGCAAAAAGCCGTACATCTGGAGCATTTACCATATCCTTGCAAAATGCTCCTTGTGGACAGGTAAGACTTAGAACCTTGTTGTAATATATATATATCTTGAAGGGTTTATTAATCGGGGGAGTGGAGGGGGGAAGTATTAAAAAAAAAAAAAGCTACCTGCATTTGAAAATATCAGTAGCAACAATTTTCCTTAATGACGAGTTGAACAACAACAGTGCAGAGGAAGTCTCTACATAAATTCTCGTATTTGCTTGTGGTAAATACAAAAGGTTATGCTGGTGTTCTGATTCATTGTTCACTGAGATCACTTGGTAGCATATGGTGGTTTATGCAGCAAACCCTGGATGATGACTTGTTTTCTTGAGCTTTCTGAGTACATCTTTGTGGATTTGCAGCCAGCACAAAATAAGCCTACTGTTTATTATTGATTGAAGGAAGAATGACTTTTTTGTGCCTTGATTATAGATTTCTCTTGCAGCTTGAAATTAACTTTTACTTAAATTGATATGAAAAACTTTGGATAGCTTTTTGGGACAGCTCGCTTGGATTTGAGTATATGTATACATCCGTGGTGTTAAGTTGGTATCCTGTACAATTAATTTCAGCCAAACGTGCGTGTGCTTACATATAGCTGATGCTAAGGGTTTGAAAGTTTTGGTACCGTACACAGAAGTCACCAAATATTTTATCTGCTTTATGTCCAAGATGCATTCTATTTCCTTTGTTGTGTATGTGGATTTCTGAGTATGTATTAAAATGTCATACATGTGAGGTATGGAACACTGGTAAGATTTTCACTACAGCATTTCATTCTTATTACAGTCTTGATAGGTCTTGTAATTCTGAGGAAGTTAAGGCAAGTTAGAATAGATCTTAAACATGCAGAGGTGGTGTGAGAAATACTGTTGACTGAGTTGAGCTGTTTTCTGGAGTTGTGTTTTTCTCACTGACTTCACGTTCTACATATGCATGTAAGGACAAAATTTGGTGCACGTTTGTATTAGGGTCACAATGCTACTGTGGATGCCTACTTACTAAGCTGCGGGACTTGCTGTAGGAGCAAGATGTTAAACTTTGTATCTTGGACAGATTTATGTTCTGTCTCCAACGGTCTTGTGTAACAATTTTTACCTAGGAGCAACTGTGTGGATATTTGAAGTGTATAGAGACTTAAATGTGACTGTTTTTGCTGTATTTCTAGACCATCTGCTATACATTAGGCCCAAATTTTAGTTCTTAGCTTGGTGTTGATGCAGTTACATACTTTGCATAAAATCAGATTTAGTACCATTACTTTTTGATCCTGTGGAGGTAACTACTTACACTTTATTTAGTAGTTTACTTTTGTGTTCTACATGAGTGTGTGACTCTAAGTCCTTTTAAACTAATGACCGCATTCATTCTTCTCTGCAGCTTATATTGTTCGTGCACTTGAGATTTCCTTGGGAAGAAAAATGGTCATAAAAGTTGTCATACCACACTTGCTAAAGGCCTGTTTCAGTAACATCTTTTTGTCCTTGTACACTAAAACCTACTTCTTTGTATGACAGAGAAGTTCTTTAAGCAGAAGGAAGTAATATTAAAGTGGCATTGAAAAGTTTATTGTAATAGAAATTATTTATTTGCAATCCAGATAAGAGATGGGAGACTAAGTGCATTGAGTCCCCTTCTCATCTCAATGATAAAAGCTGAGAGGTGAGAAAAATAGCTTAACTGGATAGAGACCAAATGTATTTTCCACCTGGATGATCCACAAGTAAATGTTCCACTATCTCTTCTATGGTTCCTAGAAATGTATCAGGACAGGGCATACCAGTCACAAGTTGCCAGTGTTGAAAAAGTGGATTCCTGTGTGTTGTGAATATGACTGCTTTATTATGGTCTAATAGCCTCTAGCTCCTTGAGGTATAAGATTTACAGTGGGCGCCATGAAATGAAATCTTGGCAGGGACATATACATTAAAAACAACCTTCTAGGCTTTAACCTCTGTATGCATTGCCCTTTGGGTTGGGAAGAATCTGGTGATCCTGCTAGTATTTCCTATTTATGGGAAGATTGAGACTGGTTCAAGATGCAGCATATCTGATCATTGCTACAATTTGTGCATATTTGACTTGGCTTATTCTGATTTTAATGAGTTTAGCTGGCTTCATTTTGTGCTAACCTTGGGATCCTGAGGAGTTGATTAAATCAGTATCATAATCTAGAAGAAAAAAAAAATAGAACAGCTGTGAAACGAAACATAAATATAGGCATTCAGTATAGGCATAAATCTGTTCCGTCAGAATAATGTTCTCAAAACGTCAGAGTCCAAGAAGCTTGAGAAAGGTGGTTGTATATTGAAGCTGTGTCCTGTACTGTACGGTTGAAGGTAAGCACAGGGGATCCCTCAAGAAACACTTTAGGCAACTGACATGTGGAAAACAGACTCCACAATCTGTAAGATTGTAAAGTAGGTATGTTTATTCAGCACTGGGCAGCACAGGGGGTAGTCCCACCACAGTAGTAGTGCCACAACAGGGCAGCTTGCACCATTTATATGTAGCAAAGTGTTACATATACATGAAGTTTCCCAATAGCCTATACATAGGCATAACCTGCCCCGCTTCGTATTAAAATTAGTTTCAAGAGGTAATTTCCATAAGTCCCTCCCAACTGTGCATGCTCAGTGATTTGAGTCGGTGGTCTCCAGGGGTCGTTTACTTCATCCACTCCTCTTCTTCACCTTGTCCTTTTGGTGAACTCCAGCTTCTACCCTCCTTATTCCATTGTCAGAACAACACAGCCAGTACCAACTGGCTCCCCATCCTTGGCTATCCTCATATCGACAAAGTGCCAGATGCTTTGTTCTCCTACATGCCTTCCAAGGCCTGTAACAAAGATGGGCCATTTGCTACTAATCTCCCCTCTTCCACATTCCCTACAGTGTTAATTTCTTATCTATAGTTTACTCCATATGATTAGTAAGTTAATCTAAAACACAATGCTAGCAATTTAAGCTGGATCTACAGTTGGCTTCACAAAGGTCCTTTTGTTAACTCTTCAGCCTCCCTTCAGAACTTTTTTTATCAAATGAAAGTTGAGGCCTGATTGACTTCTTGCAGAAGCCCACCGTGAGATACCTTTCAGCCTGACCTGTTGAAATGCCCATCAATGGACAGCAGAGGTCTGGAGCAAATATCTGCTATGGTAATGTGTAGGATATGTATTGTGGGTCTCATTCCCTTTTGTGTTACAGAACATTTATCTCTGTGCAAAATACAGAAATGTGCCTTTCAGTTTATTTGTTGTGATGCTTTTGTTTGGGAAAGTGATAAATTAGTTGGCTTTCTGCAGCTTCGTGAGACTGCAGAGAGCCTTGCAGTAATTCTTGCATCTTCTTCACCCTGCCTTAGCGACTTTGTTTAATGTGTCTCAATGTCCAAGTAGTTTGTAGGTGAAAAAACAGATATTCTTGGCTTTTACTATGTGTTGGGCTTCCTATTTCACTTAGTCTTTAACAAAGCTACCCTCATCAGTCCTTAACAGAGGTTTGAATGAAGCATTCTGGACATTAACAGCCTGGTGGGTGATCAGAGGCTTATGTGCTATGTTCCAGTGCCAAGTGTTGCTAATTTGATTATCAATATGTAAGTGGTGAGAGGGTAGTTAGAACTTTTTGTGTACTATGACACAAGAATGTGGGGCTTCAGTGCAGCTATTCAAGTGTCTAACTATCAGCTAGCTGGTACTACTTGGCAGAAGAGCTGCTTTACATTTCCCTAGGCACCATCCATTATCTTTTTCCCATTTATAAAAATTAATGAATTGAAATGGGAAGCTAAAAGATTTGTAGTGCAGAATATCATATTTCTTGATGGTTTGAGATTTTGTGTGCTTTTTAAAAAAAAAAAAAAAAAACAAACCAACCCAACACACAACTTATCAGTCCCATCTCATTCAAGCAGATTAAAAAAAGTAGAAAGAAAATACCTGGGGAGATTTTAGCTCTCTGAATCACAAAGAATCCAGTCATCTAGAGCCTTACTGCTGGTGACATGAACAGTCATCAGGCAACAAGTTATTTCAAAATGATGTGAAATTTTGTTTAAGCACTTTTTGGAAGGAGAATCAGTCAAGCAATCAGCTCAGCTTAACCTTATCTGAGTTTCAGGTGACAACCTCGCTGGCTTTGTAGTTTGTATGATGAGAAGATCTTCTGAATATAGAGATTTTTTTTTTTTTTTAAAGTGTCTAGTGAGAGAAACGGCCATTCCTGTGAAAACACCTGCTGAAAGTTGGCAGGGGCAGTACTGTGAAAGAAGCAGTTCATTGGAACCGAGAATAATTGTCAAGCAGAATTTCTCCTTTAGTTTCAGCATGAAGGAATAATAAAGCTTTTGTCAGTATTGTGTAGTAATGTATATGCTGTGGAGGGTTGTTCTCTTGGCTCTGGTCTGCTCTGTGTACCAGCTGGTATTCTTTTATTTACAGCTTCTTAAAAGATCGGCAAAATTGTCAATTTATAGCCACTGTTGCTGAACAATATGCACAGAAACCTAACTTCTTAGTAAAGAGACAAGACAATGAGATAAACTACAAGAGCATGGCTTCACAATGCAGATCTCTCTTTCACCATCAGTCCAGGAGAGCTGGTTGAGTTGATGAAATATCTCCAGTTATTTTTATAATTTGCTATCTTTAAGTTTCATTTTATCATTTCAACTGTTGGTGAAAGATTACTGTTTCACTCCTGTTTAGAGACAGGGAAATTCTGAATGTAGTTTTTAATCTTCACACACCAGTGTGTGTTCTTGTGTGTCCACGGTATTTGAAGTACTGACAGACGATCTGCTTTGTGCTAGTCTAGCATCTGCCAAAGCCACATGGTAGCGTTCAGAGATCCTTGCAGCTCTAGTAACTGTTTTCAATGAGTAGGGCAACTTTTGCCCTGTATTAGGCAAGGCCCAGTGAAAGTCAGTGAGAGTTGAATAAAAGTGTAACTCTTTGAACTGAACATCCTAATCTGTTTGCACTGTGAATGGTGGTATTCACAATACAATTTTGCTTCTAGTGCGACTGTCCAAAGGTAAGGGTATTTTAACTAAATCTTGTTCAGTGCCTCTTTCAGCACTGAAGATGCTTAACATGTTTTCCAAGTGCACTCTGCTAAGAAGCAAGATAGAACTGAAAATTTTCAATTCTCCACTGATTATAGCTTTACTTGCACTCTTATTTAATGTCCATCTTACATTTAATAAAAAAAATGAAATGATTTTGCTCTTGCTTCTAGAACCAGGATGGATCATGTATTCAATCAGTCAGCCTTATTCTTAAGCAGGACCCCAAGAGGCAAGTGACTCTGACTCATTCAGGAGATGTTTTGGTATATGACCAATACAAAGTTAACCTGCCTTATGCAGATGGTAAGGAATAATACGTAAGCATATAACTCCTATGAAGCACTAAAGCCGTATTCTAATGGTGTATGTGTATGTTGTGATACTGTCAATGTTGCTAACACACTGAAGTGGTATATTGTAAATATCAACATTATTAATCTTTTATTAAATGTTTCACAAATTAACCACTTAACTGCTGATGTACTTTTTACACTGATGGTAGGAGTTGTACAGTAGGTGTACTGAGCTAGTGTCTTTTAGGTTAAGATTGAGTATGTTATGTTTCTAACAAGTTCAAATGCCATCCTTCACATTTACAAGGTTGGTTAGTTCTTTTCTGAGGGGAAGCTCTTTTCTCTGATTCTTGAACTGAGTATTTTTTTTTTCCTTTTTTGTAAGCAGCTCAAGTAAATATAAGTGAAAGGAGCCCTCTTGCCCCTTACAGATAAGCTACAGATTTTCAGACAAAAAAATTTGGTTTGTTTCTGGGGGGGTGTGTGTGTGTGTGTGTTGGGTTTTTTGGTTGGTTTTTTTTTCCTTCCATGATTTTTTTAAATCTCCCCCTCTGGAAGATATTACTGAGTATTCTACATATTAATGGTTGTGTTCTGTGAGATTCAGTGTTAGCTTCAGTGAGAGCTTTATATGCAAATCATTAGTGCATTTGATGTCTGTGGGGCCTTGGCTCTTTGGGAATTTCCAAAAAAAGGCTTTAATATGGGAAGCACATTGCTGGTGTTAGGATTAGATTGTCTATAATAATGGTCTGCAATGTTATCTACAATGTTTGTGTCTTTAAATTGGGATGCTTTTAGTTAACCTTTATGAATATTCAGGTGAACTCTGGGTGTATTTTTTTAAAAATGTGGTGCCTGTTGTAAGTTTCTTGTTTTCTTCTGTATAGTCTGAATCAATGTAACCTTTCACGAGAAGTCAATGATTAGGGGAAAATAAGGTCTTAATAGGGAAAAAATGTAACTTACATAAACATGATATAAAACAAAAACAGTGAAATGACAAGAAACTACATGCAAATTACAAGCAGATTTCCTTTGCCTTTCAACAATCTCTGTTTTTACTCACCAGAGTTCTTTGAAATACGGAAACTCTCCTCTGTATTTCTTCAAGTAAAGACACATATCGGATTACAAATACTGTATGACAGAGAAGGACTGAGGCTTTACCTTCAAGTCGATGGACGGTGGAAAGATGATACTGTGGGCCTTTGTGGAACCTTCAATGGAAATACGGAGGATGATTTTTTGTATGAATAGCTGCAAGATTTCTATTTGCCAGTATATGAATATCTACAGTTAGAGTGGTAGATCAAGTGTGTACTGAAGCTGAATGGATTGATTCCAAGAATAATTAATTTTGAAGTTTTTTGTTAGTGAGATGGATAGTAGGTTTTAGTTTGCTAACAGAAAATCTGTAACTCTAAATGTAGGATATCAAGCCAGGTTTTCTTTCAAATATTTTAATATAAAAAATACAGCACTCATAAGTGCTAGTCTATCTGAAAAGTTTTGTCCAAAATATGGAGTGGCCTATATAAGGGACATTGTGCCTCCTCGCAAGCCTCTTTATCTCTTTCCAGCTCCTGTTTTCTGCTGCAAGTTCTAATCTGCTCTCTCTGACAGAGCCTCCATTGTTCTATGTCTGCAGGCCAGCAACAGGAATTGGCTGTTGGCTGAGCTTCACTTTGTCGTAATGCAATGAAAGGTGGTCAGAGCTGCCTGAGCACCATGGTCAAGATTGCCGTTTGTCCAGCTTCTTTGCAGCGTTTTTCCTACATATGCTAAAGAACAAATTTGCTTCCAGAGGCTTGAGCAGCCTAATGGAAGTGAAAGAAGGAAAACATGAATTTAAAGCAGGACAGAATATTTCTTTGACTAAGAAAAGGAAAAAGAGCAGGAGAACTTTCTCTCAAAACAGTTGGAATTCTTAAAATCAAAACTAATAGAAAAATGGAATAACTTCCCATAATAGTTCCCATTTAAAAAATGCACACACAGAGAGATATTCTAGTGGATTTTTGAACAATTTCTGTCTTAAAGATTAAGAAATATTATTGGAATATTGTTTATAATGAGACTATATAGACAGGCTCTCAATGAAGAGATGTTATTTATGTAGAACTACTTAAAATATTTCTCTGTTTGAAGCAAACGAGCTTTGTAGTGTATTTTTGATGACAGTCTTTAGACTTGTGCTCAAATAAGTGAGAAGTTGTTCAATAGTTCATATTTGTGCAAAAAGCCCTTAAACTACGGGAACTATGAATTGTGCTGGGACATGACACAAACCATAATGTGCAAGCATCTTGATACGTAGACAAAACACCTGATCCACACCAGATTTGGGAGGCTCGCCATAGACAGTGGTGTCTTTTGCAACACATCCACCCCCAGCTGCTTTACCAGAAATAATACTACTGGTTGTATGCCTAATGCAGTCATTTCCTGGAGTGTAACATCCCATATGGATGGTGTAACATCCCCATGCATGGTTTCAATCATTCTCCTTATACAATATTAATGTGCCTTGGTTATTTAGATCAAAGTCTTCCTATCTTTCAGCTTCTGCTGCCCCTCTGCTTACCTGGGCCTCTATTCAATTGCTTTTGCAGTTAGATCTCTGGACCCTTGGATTTCTGTTCCTTCCTCTTTCTTGCAGGGACTAGAGAGCCTGGGAAGTCAGCTACCCAGGAACAGACAGGAAATTATAGGTAGAGGAGAGATAAAAATGCATCAGATATCACTGAGGGAGCAGAAGTATGAATAAAAAGAGTGCAGACTTTCAGGACAGTGGTGCTCCCTCCTCTCTTGTGAAAATGAAACTTGGTCTGTTTTGATCTGTCCTTCCTTACAAAGTATCTGATGGCTCTAGAGCACATAATCTCTTTTGTTCCTGGGCCTTTGCCTGGAAAGAAAGAGTTGAGTCCTGAAACTTAAGCTGACAGTGCTTTATGGGAGGGTGTATGAGAACATGGAACAGTGGAGGGGGAGCTTGAATCAGCTCTGGTGAAGGGGGTGGTAGAACCGAGACCATTCTGTAAATTCACTATATCTTTTGTGACTGACTTCTGTTTTGTAAAAGATCTCCAGTTGGCGTAACTGAAAGCACTCCAGAGCTGTTTGGAAACACATGGAAAACTTCATCGGTGTGCATTCTTGTGCATGATAGTTTGCAAATGGATCCGTGTGATATTCATCTGCAGGCAGGTGGGCAGTGAAGGTTAATTACTATATCTGTGCCATTTTTCCTAGTTAGATGAAGTAAAGTAATAACCAGTCCTACCCACTGAAAAAAATATTACTTAAAGATAGCATTTGTTGAATTCAATCCTCTAACAAATCATGTAGTGTGTTGTTTTTGTGATACTTGTGGAGGCGCTTAAAATACCCCCTTTTTATTTCTGGTTTGCAGTTACAATGCGTTAAGTTAGACGTGTATTAAAGGTTGGTAGTGTGTCTAATTGGTGATGCTGCTAGTTAAGATGGAGACTCAAAAGTATTGCAGTATTCATTTTTGAAAATACTGAAAAAATGGAACATTTGGTTTAGTTGTCTGCTATGGAGGAGAAGGAGTAGGAGAAAGATACTTACTCACTGCCAACCTTCAGATTTGTCTGAAAGAGTTCAGTTGGGGGAAAGATGGTCATGGCATTAGCCATGACGACCACAGACGGTCACTAAGACATCCTTTAATAATGATGAACTTTGTAGATCATGAATTACGTCCATTTCACAGTTCCTGCCACTTCTTGTCTTGGTCTCTACACACTTTTATGCAAGATACAGTGGTAAATTACTGATTAAGGTCTTGCCTGTAATTTCAGCAGCACTAGGAAATCATGTCTTCTGCCAAGACATCATCCTGTCTTTCGAGTACTTATACAATGTGCAGCACTAACAAGCTGTGTTCTTGGTAATGGATTTGGGCATGAAAGTAGAAAAAAAAAAAAACAAGTGGCCTGTACAGGAAGTCATAAATTCTGGAAAAGGAGTTTTGAAGTCCTAGTTTATGCATCTCTCTTCTTCTGTGGGAAATAGAAATACATGTCTTTCTGTGCATGCTAATATAGTGTATTATTTCTTTTGCACTATTGCACAATTTAATGCATTCAGAATTAAGCTATTCAGGTGAGTGCTGTGTTTGGAGCTTCTCATGTAACTATTTGATACTGCTCTTGCTCTCTTGTGCAGTAATGCTACCCCAAGCTAGCAGCTCTGGGTGTGGTTGCAGCCTTATGCAAATGAAACAGTGGGTAACAAATTATTCTTTAAAATACTGACCTATTGAAGTAGCTACTGGGAATGACTTAACCTGGAGATGTGTAATCCTGTGCGTTTATGAAAGGCACTGGGTAGCATGTAGCATCTGTTGCTTAACCCACATCCATGAATCAGTTTAAAGACAGAAGACTATTTATAGGCACTGTCTGTGTGTTGTAAAGTTTTCCAAATACCTTAAAATAATTCGCAGAACAAGTTCAAAACTATGAGCAGCTAACTTCTTTTCTGTCCTTTCATACAGTTGTATAGATATCAAAGATGGAAAGATATATATGGCAATAGTATATAACTATGATCAGTTGCATTGTATAGAAAACACTTTTTATTCCAAATCTTTAAACTCCCTCACTGAAACAGTGTTTAATCTGTTATTTGTATAGCCTCTTATGCAGCGGAAGCTTGTAGCATCCTTACAAAAGAACTTTTTGCTCCATGCTATCCCTATTTGAGTCCCGTTCCCTATTTTGAGCAGTGCAGAAGAGACACTTGCAAATGTGGACAGATTTGTTTTTGCTCTGCTCTGGCCCATTATGCTCATCATTGCCGAAGATTTGGAGTTGTAATAGATTTCAGAGGAGGTGTCCCAGACTGCGGTGAGTTTCCTTTCACTTCTAGTCTTAAATAATTACTGTTTGAGGGCTTTAGAATGAAAATCAGAAAATTAAATTAATATAATCTTTTAAATGAGAAGAGAATTAATTCTAGCATGATTTTTTGTGTACAGGATAAGGTTTGGTGGGGCTTTTTTTTGTCAAGACAGAATTAGTACAAGTGTTCGTAGAGGATTGTTCCTTTATAGTTGGCTTTCTTTGGTGCTTTTGACTTAAGAAACAATGCAAAGATTTTTTTGAAGTAGCTGGAGGGCTTCAAATGTATACAGAATTAAAAATATACCTCTGTCTTACATGGCTTTGAATATCTCATACCCGTGTTGATATGATTCATAAGCCACGTAATTAGATTTGTTCTTTTCTGTGTAGAAGCTATGTTTATCTAATTCTTTAAATAAATGACATTAAAAGTGATGGTGATAATTATTTAGCTGTTTTAGCTAGATTATTGTCAATTTCTGCTGTCTAACAATTTCTGTTAGCTTATTCTCTTACTGTCAGTGACAATGAAATACATAGAGCACTGAAATAAGTGTAGAGAATTGGTATTGTTGACATTTCATTTAAAATTAATGGAAGAATCTAGTATAGAGGTAGCCAAAGGTGACAGCTGTTATCTGCTCTATAAAGCCTCACAAGTAGAGGAGTGGGATAATATTATTGAATTCTTTAGTTTCTATGAACTTTGTGTTGCAAAAAAAAAAGTTTGATAGGACATATAGTACCCTCATCTATGTTTTTTTCTAAAATTACAGAATTGGAAATGCTATAAAACAACCCTAAACTGACACCCCTGATGTTTCAGTAGGTTTGGCTCCATAAACAAGGCTGAAAATCTTTTCTAGGGAACATCCAAGAGTTTAACATCTGGTAGTTTTCATCACATCATGTAATTATCCACGTTGTAATGCATGATAAAGAGGATTTTGGAAAGTTGGTCCAGCTTAAGTATCTCAAGCTGAAGTATCTGTATATCTGAAAAGAATGGCTTGCTTGCAGTCATTATGGTGTGAATGGCTGTGTCCACTATGACTGAATGAATCAGTCAAACCATTTAATTTTATTTCACTTTTCTAGAAACAAGTATAGTTTTATTAGTATATATTTAAAAAGTCATGCTTGTAGGGTTTAAAATATGTGAATCTTTTTAGTATTTCAAGAACTTCAGATTTCTTTAAGTAGAGCTTTATAGGATGTATATACATTTATAAGAAAATTTAATAAGGTATTGGCCAACATGCAAAGTACACACATTTTATTTATTGCTTTTAACGTTTTCTTTAAGATGCTGTGCATTTCCCAAAGCCCATGTGCAAGAGTCAAGCATTTTCAGAGTTAGAGGAAAAAGAGCTTCAACTGTTCAGTTTCCCCAGTGTAAATCTGGATTAACTGTGCAGACTTCATTGTACTTGTTATTACTGTGGATTTACGTCTGTGTAGTTTACACAGCATAGTGCCAAGATAGCAATTTTAGTGGAATTTAATGTGATTGGAAATGAAAGAATAGAGATGTTTATCAGAAAACTGTTGGGAGGTACTTGAGTTTCTACACTGTAATTTGAGAGATTTGTTTCATTTGGACAGCTCTTTCATGTGAAGATACAAAGGAGTACAGTACTTGTGTATCTACCTGTGGCAGGACCTGCCAAGCACTGTCTGTGCCAGAGACATGCAGCAGTGATTGTGTTGAAGGCTGTGCTTGTCCCCCTGGAATGTATTTGAATTCCAAGACTGAACGATGTGTACAGAGGTAGGTAAAGTTGTAGTTCTGATAGCCACCCCCTTTAATTTAGACTGATGCATTTTCAATTCAGAGTGAAAAGCTAAAAAATATGTAACTTTGTAGATGATACGCATCTGTAAACTTGGCAGGATCTTAAAATTACAACCTGTATGTTGATCAAAAATAGCTCTTTTATAGTACTGACACTCATCCAACGTCACCAAAGCCAGTTGTTACATACTGTCTGGATTTGGGCATATAAGAGATACAAAAGGTGTCCACTGTTGTATAGAGCTTCTGCTTTGTTACTGATTTGGCTTGGAATGCACTCAGGTTATGTGGCAGTATGGAGATAAATTTCTTGTATTTAAAAAAAAAAACAAAAACAAAAAAACCACAAAAAAACCACCAAACCCACATCAAAAAAACCCCCACAAAACCCCCACCCAACCAACCAAAAAACCTCACCAAAACCAACAAAGCAAGCGATTGAACTTCAAATAGCAATTAAGTCAACAGGAATTTTTTTCTTCAGTTTGAGTTAATCACAGTTACGTGTTTTTCCTCTATTCCAGAAACAAATGCCCATGTTATTTTCAAGGAATTGACTATCCCCCTGGAGAAAACATTATGACATCTTTGGGCAAATGGTAAGATACAAAATTTTTTCACCTGAGTAAATGGTGTGTCTCAGGAGCTCTGTCAAATCATTCTGGCTAGCCTGTAGAATAAACCTACATTGATTTTCTGTGCATGTTTGGACAGAGCTTCCTTAGAACTTAAATTTTCAGGCTGCTGTGCTTATAATCCCATACACTGAAGTACAAAGTAGAGAGAAAAGCCATTATAATTTCGTAGATCCATACTAATGTGGAGAGCTCCAGAAAACCCTGGAAATTTCCTGACTGTTCATTCAAATCTATTCAGCTAGACCTTCATTGCTATTGGCTTCCCTATACCAGATTGTAAAGCCATTTACGAAGAATAATTAAGAATCTCTCTTCCACTAATATAGAATCAGTGTGAAAGAGCAATGTGGCTTTATCAACAAAGAAACAACACAAATAACTGTCAGGTGCAGCCATAGGTAAATAAAACATCTTTCTAATTGTTCCTTACGTTTGTTCCTGTCCTTTTGCTCTTCCATTTGCATCATTATAGTCACGACATTAAAGAAGAAAGCTTGTTAAACTATTCTGGCTGCTGCCAGATGCATCCTTTTCAACAGCTAGTTCTGTCTGGAGGTTAAATAATGTGGACAACAAGTTCTGTAAAAAAACAAGATTTCAGAATTGTTTTTCTTGAAGTAATGTTTGAGCTCTTACTACCTGTATCAGTTCTTGCAGCACTTAATTAAAAGCAGAACAGTCCAAAACACGTCTGTGATAGATCAGCATAATGCTTGAGTTTGTCGTAAAAGCCATATGAGAGATTAATATTCAGACACCTATTGCAGTAGGGACACTTAATAAACACACACGCTCATTCTCACTCTTGTCAGCAGCCTAGTGTCCACATATAGTGATCATTATAAATCTATATCTCAGTTGTCAAGTTAGCTCATCTTTACCTTAGGGCAGATTCCCTGAGAGAGTACCAGGCAACCCATTCTGCATATGGGGCTGTACAAGTCTGGGTGCACTGTTGCCTGCCTTCCTGGATATTTTTGTTCACAGAGTATGTGCCAGACAGCACTGACAGTTACGGGAATGGGCTTCTCCTGGTAGATTTTTGATTTGTTTCTTTTCATCCTTCTCCTCAAGGGTTTAGTTTAGCTAATTATGCAAAGCACTGTGGTGGATATTTGGCTGAATGCACACTGATGATGTGATCATCCACAAATGTGGGGTTTTTTAAAAATTACTACAGGTGAAAATCATCTTTCTGTTTATTTTAGTGGAGTTATTTGGGATTTGACAGCTTGTGTTTCATGTGAATGTGTTAATTAAAGTACATCTACACGTTTACAACTAGCAGTCTTTAAGATGAAATAACAGATCTGTATCTCCTATTAAGTCATGACTTTTGCTTGCTGCGTTTTAACAAGGCTGTGTACAGATCTGTTGAGAGGAAAAGCTTTCAAACATGGAGGTGCAGACTATCTGTTGTTGTATTTTTATTAGAAACAATTATGATCTTTGTTATGATCTCTCTGTCCTTTTTCTTCTCAAGTGCTTCCTCTGTGGAACTTCCACTTTCAAACTGGAATTTCTTCTCATGTTTGGCTATGGAGTGGCCTTTCTGCTCTGTTGTTTTCAACCAGTTCTTTCAAATATTTTCATTTTGATGCTGATGTCATGTCAGCATTTGAGTTGCCTCCCTATCAGTTCCCTTTGGTACAGCTTTGCCTGTTGGCTGAGTTACACTGTGAAGTCCTTGAGCTAGGACACTGTTCCTGCAGTCCTTTGGGGTACATAGACAACTCCAAACATGGCAGCAGAGTGGCACATACAGAATCTGATTCTGAATATGCAGACTAGCAGTAGGTGTACTGGGGATGTCAGCCATTGTTGTGGTTTAACCTGGCTGGCAACTAAGCACCACGCAGCTGCTTGCTCACTCCCTCCCTCCCTCAGGGGGATGGGGGAGAGAATCAGGGGGAAAAAAAAAGTAAGACCTGTGGGTTGAGATAGAGACAGTTTAATAAGATAAAAGAATTACAATAGTAATAATGGTAAGAGAATATACAGAATATGCAAAACAAGTGATACACAATGCAATTGCTAACCACCGGCAGACTAATGCCCAGCCAGTCCTGAGCAGTGATCACTCTCCGAGCCGCGATCACTCTACCCCCAACTGACCGACTAACTCCCCCGAGCATGACGTTATATGGTATGGAATAGCTCTTTGGTCAGTTTGGGTTAGCTGTCCTGGCTGTGCTCCCTCCCAGCTTGTTATGCACCTGGCCAAGCAGGAGAAGCCCAAAAAGTCCGTGAGTAGTCTAACACTACTTAGCACCAACTAAAAACATCAGTGTGTTATCAACGTTTTTCTAGTACTAAATCCAAAACACAGCACTATGCTAGCTACTATGAAGAATATTAACTCTATCCCAGCCATTGCAAAAGAATGGGAGAACAGTGCTGGAGTTCATGGGCTCGGGCTCTCTCATGAAACATGGGACCTGAAATGAAGCCAGTGCTGCTACATTTTTTCCATTGACAATGAGTTGCTCTCAGATCTGCTCCCATTTTATAAAAGTACTAGACTATTTTGCCTGGAATTAGACAGGAGCAGACAGTATTATGTTGCTTAGTGCTTCCCTCTATGCAGTACCTTGTTAAGGTTATGTTTTATGCAGTTTGCTTGTTTCTTTGCTGAACTGTGTCATGTAGTGTCTGTTCCTGTCTGTGTAATATTTTGCATGTGTGACTGGGTATGCGTACTACAAGCTTTATGATACAGTAACTTAAAATGTTTATTTTGAGTCTTGATTAGCATAGAGTTCTTTGAATTTTTTTAGGTTCCGATTATGAACTGTAGCTCCAGTTGATTCTGATAATAGTCACAGTAGGTTGCTATTCCAGACTCCTACTGTATTGCTGAAGCAAAATTAAGTTTGAGACAGTGTGAGGATAAAAATCAGCAGCTGCATTGCTGTTTCCTCCTGTGAACCAAGAACACTAAAATAATTGAAACATTCATTTGTTATAAATGAGATAGAAATTCATGATACTGTGAGATGTTTTCAGATGAATAGTTTGTTCATGGTCCATGTTAGGAGCAGTTGAGAAGAGACGAAGTTATCAATCTACTGTTACTATGTTTTGCTTTGGGAAAAGTCACTCCAGTTCAGTACAAAAAAAATGGTTGCAGTCACATTAGCTTGTGATTGTATTATATTCAACACTGTGATTATACCTTCAACTGTAGGATAACTTAAGAACTGTTGGTATCGTCAAGATTTTCACATCAACTAGTAGCTTGCTTTTCAGCAGAGTTCTAAGCTGATGGTGAGGAAAACGGAGCATTTGTAATAGTTAAGAGTGTTCATATAAGAGTATGTATCCAGAGCTTGCTGTAACATGTATGGATGTGTGTTTAGGGTTTGGTTTTGTTTTGCTGGTATTGCTCATTGCATTTTTGTTTTAGATAATGATGATTCTGTTATATACAGGGCTTGGTTTATTCTTATTGCATTGATGTCTTTGGGAGCACTTCAGTGGTGTATTCCTGTATGTATTTTTATGTCAGCTCAGGCATTTTAACTCATAGTAACGTTATGCAGAAAGCACAAGTTTGAAGTGGAATTAGTATTGTTTATGTGTTAAGGCAATGCACACTTTATCCACAGCTCTAGTATATTCAATGCAAACTTATACAGTTATTTTCTCTTGATTTATACTGCATGCTTCACTATTAAACAGAAAACATTAATATTTTAGATCTTCCTGGCTCTCATTACATCTTCATGTATTTTTATTGCAGCCATTGCAGGGATGGAGTAATGAATTGTGATAACAACATAATAGGTGAGTGAAGAGAGAGAAGGAAAATATGGTTGAAATCCAATAAATATTTATTCTCCAATCTCTGTGGAACCCCTCATCTGTAGTAGAAGATTGTGCAATATATACAAATTAATAACTTGCAGGAGGGAATCTGTAATTTAGGAATTATATATTTGTGTGATTGAAAGAAAGGCTGGTGCAAAGCAGCAGCATAACTGTCCAAAATACTGTTAAATCTGAGAAACTTTTTTTCCCAGTGCTTTAAAATACTTTGGTTTTTTAGATTGCTAAGAAGCTTAGCTGCATGGCAAACAACAAAATTTCAGTAGGACAAACAAAAGTTAGCTTTGCCCCATAAAACATGGTTATAGGAATGGACACTGGCAGTAATTTTTCAGAGATATTTTTTCTTTTCCTCCACAAACTCTATGTAACCGAAATAAAAAAGAATAAAATAGTACTTTCTTTTGTCATACTTAAGCAGAAGAATGTAACGAGCTTTTTCTATTACAATGTATTTTTTATGTCATTAAGTATTATGGTCCTTACTCTTGTTATGATGCTCCTTTTACTTCAGTGAGAAAGGCTTTTATTTGAGGTTTCAGTTCTAGAATTGCCAACTCTTTGGCCTTTAGCAGAAATCTGTTTCCCATGCACTTGAAGGTTGTATTGATTTCACAATTATCCAGAAACTCTCTCCCTAATAAATAAATAAAGAAATCCCAGCAATCAACCAAAACCACTAAACACTGCCACCACTTCCAGCATTTCTGTTAAATTTACACAGTATGCTCAGTGCGACCCAAAAGCAATTGTGCAATAGAGTTGTTTTGTTCACTGGCTCCAGCATGGAAGGTCATATCTAGCTCTCAAACACTTTCTTGATTTCCGCCCCCCTTTCTGTTGATTTTTGTTGGCGCTGCTTTGCATTTCTGTTTTGGAGGGCTGATTCCTGACTAACTGTTTAGAAAGTCATGTCCCTTACTAAACGAATATATTCATTTCAGTATTTTGTATGAGATTTATAGGGGTTCTATGAAGTGAACTATGCTCAGGAGAGACAAGCAATTGGATGTTACTGGTGTCACTGGATGCTATGCTTTTGTGTTACATATTCTTAATCTAAATCTGTTGCTCACCTTTACAGAATACAAAATGTCAGGTGCAAAGACTAATGTGTTTGTCAATTTTTTTTTTTTTTTCCCCCAGCGCACAGCTGCCCAGTTGGACAGATCTATATTAACTGCAGTAGTCCACAAGTTGATCCTGAACTCAGCAGAGAGAGAACTTGTGAGAATCAGCTGCTAAACCTCACTTTCTCAGCACACCTTCCTTGTGTTTCAGGTTGTGTCTGCCCACTGGGGTAAGTACAGACAGATTTGCATCTTTTGGTGCACAAGCGTACATGACTACCTTCAGCAGCACTGAGGAATTAATTCTGCTGAAGACATACCACACTTCTACTTGGAGAATTTGAGGTGTCAAGGGGTGAGCATCCAACTTGTGGAGGCTTACTGCACAATGATACAGACTGTTGAAGGCATAAGAAATGATAAACCAAGGAACAGGTGGAGCCAGAAGTCTAATACTTCACAATAATAAAAACAAAATAACAGGAATGTACAAAGGGCATTGAAATTTGATCTGATCCCTGTACTACAACAGAATCACATTTACCTATGTAATTTCTTTTTTGGGTATCTAACCTCTTACTTGAACATTTCACTGAGGGAGGCATACTCATTCCTAGATATTATTTGCAGTATTCTGTCCCTCAGAAGAGTATTTTAAGTCTCAGGGATTTATGCTGGAAACATGCAGATGAGCCGCTGTTGTATTTTGGAATCAAGCACTGTATTGCTGAGATTTTTTAATATAAAAGTAGGAATTATGTGTTTAAGTTATGTTGGCTTTGATGGAGTTTAGTCTCTTAAGCACATACCTTGAAGTTTTTGAGTACTGTCACTCTAAAATTACTGTTTGTGCCTTGAGAGCCTCCTTATAATGAAAAGTAAAAGCCAGATCCTCAAGTCGAACTGGGTTGAAATAGCTCAGTTGAAGTCTGTGGACTCACTCATTTATGTGTAAATTTTTCCATGTCATGGTAAAAGATTGCTACTCAGACTTCTGTTTTTTACCTTAACCTTCAGAAGCATGAAATGTCAAACCGTTCACATGAAATGGAAGCTGTAATTAGTCCAACTTGCAATATTGTACCATGGTGAAGAAGTGCAGTGCTAAGGTAGATTTTGAAACTAACTGGAGGCAGACATTTTCAGAATTGCAAGAACTTACCCTGTTGGACCTGGTTGATATCCTTCACAGCCAATGGCTACTTTCAGCAGCACTGTATGGCAGGCAACTCAGCAGAGAATAAAAAGTTTATATGATATATCTAGCTGTACTTGACCTCTGAGATTCTGAACTTTTCTTCTGCTTCCTGGTGTAAGTTAGTTCTGGAATTTAAGCAATGAAAATGTGTTTTAGCATTGGGAGGCTCAGTGTCAAGTAGTGGTGATCCCAAAGCTCTGATAAAATGTTTGTATAGTTACAAGAGGCAGAGTTTTATAATTTCCTAGAGGAAAAAATAAAAAATTAAGAAGTTTCATATTTACTGTAACTTCAGCAAACTTAATTCTGTTCTACTATGGCTGTATGCTGTAGACACAATGACATAAACTTTGTTGTTTTTTGGGAGGTGGGGAGAGAGGGTTTTTGTTTTGTAGGGCTTTATCCTCAGTGCTTAAGGTAGAACTAGGAAACGGTGTCACAAGCCTAGGATTTGAACCAGGAATATCAGTCTCTCCTGATGAAGTAGAAATGAAAAAGTATTTATGGGTTTCTGTGTATTTAGCATGTAGTGCCAGGTTCTGACTGACAGAGAAGTGCAGTGTTTGAGGGACACTTCCTGAAAACACAAGGGAACAAGTTTCCAGGTTCTGCCAGTCCTTTTATGTGAAACGTAACACGGCAGCATCTTGCTTCTGTGATCACAAGCTGCATGGTTTGGAATATAAGGTGTAATCAAAGAATCATGTGTATTTATTTTAAAATAAATTGAGAATAGCTATAAATGCTATTCAGTTACTTCCATTATAGAGTTACTTGCAAGCTAGTCAAATATTTGGCTCTGGTGGTCCTATAGTGCATATATATTTATGTTTTTATTTGAGATTGCTTTAAGAAGAATTAAGATAGTTGTGAAGGTGTGTGTTTTTAGGTGTGCTTTTGGAAACATGAGACTTGTGCTATTTACTAACTATGCAGGTTTTCTATTTAGATCAATGAATCTTAATGTTTTAGTTATTGTCATAATAGTTACTTTTGCTTAGAAGCTGTTAGATATGAATAGTTATAATGTTTTAAGTCAGTCACTGAATTCACACTCCAATGACTTGTACTGCAGATTGACCACGAGAGCAACACAATAAGACAAGAACATAGTGTTGAAAGAGAAAGATGGAACAAATACCATTACCTTCAAACAGTACCTTATCCTGTGTTCCTGACAGTTCAAGTAGCACAGGATTCAAATGCACTGTGAATTTGTGCAACTTCAAAATTACCTTTCTAGGCAATCTGTTGTTTTTTCTGTTGTTTTGTCACTTTACCAGGGTGAAACAGCCATGAAATTTCTTTGAACTTAGCAGAAGTTCTTTACCTAAAATAATTAGTTTCATTCCTTTATTCATGCTATTGTTCCTGTTTGAGATCTTGCATCAGTTTACCTTGATTCATTATCTGTAAGCTAAGCTGATTTAACCAGTAATGAAATCAGTTCAACATTTTTGATTATTTTTGGTTGATTTAGGTAGACTAATGGGGAAAAAAAAAAAGCTTGGTGTGGAGAAGTGAATGTCACAGGAAGCTACTTTTTTTTTTTTTTTTTTTTTTTCTTTTTCATGAGGAAGGATCTTTCTAATCTGCTGGATGATTATTCTTCAATGATACCATGAAAGATATTTAACACAGAGAAGGAAAGAACCTGTTTTTGCAGAAAGTAGTGTTAAGATTTCAAGAGGGAAGTATTTTTATTTTGCAGTCCACTTTTCTAGTATCTGGGGAGTTTGAAATATTGTTTCGAATAGTGAAGTATTTCTAGGATTCCTTCTTTGTTGTGCTTAGAGTACATTCTAGTGGAACTTGTGTGAAATGGAGATTAAATACAAAGTAAGTCATAGTGCAAAAGTAGCAGTTGTTTCTGAAACATTTGACTACCCTTTTTGTCTGCAGTGAATAAATCAATCCAGGTAACTATACTGGAAATATTTAAATTTACAGGAGATCATTGCCATTCTATGGATTACAGTTCTTAGAGCGTAAAAACTATGATTATTTACTTTCCCTCTGTTTTAGAAGTGATTGAGGTCAAACACTAATTCTCCTAGAACACACATTCTAATGTTGTTCCACTCTGCTTTGCTGACATATTTAGAGATTTTTAAGATTGTATTTGTGGCGTTTTTTGTACTGTTTTTCACCTGTCACTGTTTAAATGGCAATTTCCTATATTTCCATGCAGCATTCCAGAAAAATAAGTAATCTGTTTACAACACAGTTTGTAGTTTTTCAAGCTCAATCTTTGCATTACATTTTCTGCTTTTGGGTTGCTATGATACAGATTATTTTTCCCTCTTTAACTATCCCAAATGTGCTGGATTTGACATGAAGACGGAATCTTTAATTGGACTGCAAAGAAACAAAGAGAAAAGACAGAAAGAGAGAGGAAAAACAGTATTATCTTCCTATATTTCTGCATACTATGTGACACGTTTACCACAAATGGACATATGCCAGTTTGTGCTTATCCTATTCCATTAGTTTTCCATGGTCTCCAATGAGACCAATAATGATCTCTGAAACAGCTGGCTTTTGTTCAGTGTTCCTTATAGCCTGCCCTTACTGTTGCTGCCAAGAAAAAACTGTCACTTTCCTGAAGAAACTTACTTGTGTTTTCTTACTTCCCCACAGACTGTATTTTACCTTTGATGGCAGCATGAGTTGGATTTGGCTGTTCTGTACTTTATATAGTGCACAGTATAAAAAACCTGTACTGTATATACAATGTGTATAGTTTTTCAAAGTGACAGTTGAGCATTAGCTGGACCTTTAGTGATTACTTGATACTGTGCTGTGTGGGTGTATGTCCTGGAATTTATTAACTATATCACTGCAGTGGAGAGGCCACAAGCATGTTACATATGTAATGATTTTGCCTCGTTCAGCAACACTTTAGAGCAGCTTCCCTGTTACTCTTGCGTGATCCAGTGGTAGTGGTGAAGGATTCATGTAATCCTTGGGGCTGCAGGAACAAACCAAGCTCCATACTGCAATGCCAGGGATCCCTGGAAGGGATTTACAGATGTTCCCTGTGCGTTGTCGTAGGAGGTACAGACAAATGGAAAAGAACTAGAAATATATCACAGGATTTTTTGTTAAAGGATTACCTCACAGTGCTTTTGAAATATTGATAAAAAAGAAAGCTCATCACTCTTAATTTGCACAAAGAAAACAATTTTGTCATCTTATAAACATGTCTATGGACAAATCTAATAATGGGGGAAGAATGCAGTTCAGTTTCAAATATTTTTAGAAAACTAACTTTTACTACATTGACTGTGCCATGTCTTTAAAATATGTCTTCTTAAATGAATTCAAAGTCCTGTCCTTTTGGTATGTGTTAGTATCCTTTTTCAAAAGACCTGCGGTCATTTCCTCTTGCAATACTTCCAAAACCCTCTTGGTGGTTTACTTTTATAGTTTACACTAGCTGCAAACAAATTTTTTTTTTCTTCTGTACTTATATTCAATTCACAGTAAAACTTCACCAGTATCATTCAGATTCTTGAGCACCTTTTCATATTACCTTCTGTTTTTCCACTTGTTTTTAAGAGAAACATTGAACTTTGTCATTTGGTTTGAAACAAAGACTTCTGTTACATTTGGAGTTACTTTCTGAAAATGTATTTTTATAATAAAAAGAATATCTATTTAAACCGGTTCATTAAATCAGAAAAATGGCATACTAAAATACCATTAGTGTAGTTATGGAGTATTTAACTTCTTGTGTGTTTCTTTGAGAGGAGTTGAGGATCTTGAATCAGTCAAGCCATCTTTTGTTTTTGTTTTGCCTCATTTTTAATCTCCATTATAACTCAAGCAGGTACTTGATCTGACTGTAAAAAAACAAACAAACAAAACAAAACAAAAAAAAAAACCAAAATAACCAACCCCCCTCCCCCAAACCACCAAAGTGGTGATATTATTTACTGGCAAAGATGAGTTCAAGTCCACTGAGCCACCAGCTCTTTTTGAATCATTTTCCATGTTGAAGGCTGCTTCAGCTGTAAAATTGTTAGTCGTCTGGCACATAATTTATCTTCTTTTACTACAGATTAAGAATTTGGCGGCTGGGAATATACTTTGACACGTATCTGCAAATGGACATTCATCCCCCAAAAACATAATTGATAACAAAATATGTTTATCCCCCAGAAGCGTACAATTCTTCTCACAAGAACCAGTGATGATAGATTAGGGACAGCTAGTATTATCCTCTTGGCCACTCACAGATGGCAGGGTTTTTTTGTATCTCACTTTCCCCTAGAGTCCTGCTGTACATGATTTTTAGCACTGAATTTCACCCATAGTATTCTTGAAGAAAATGGTACTATTTGAGGGCATGTAGAGAGTGGCAGGCAATAAGATAGTAATAAAACTGAATGTTCAGTATGGTGAAGTGTGATAGCTATCATTGTACCTTTGCAGTTCATTGTAGGTTGGACAGTAAGCGTAGGTGTCAAGAAAAATGTCTGATACTTCAAAGGGGAGCTGTGCAAGGCCTCTCTGTAGGGTATTTGTGGTGAATTCTTAGATCATTGAAATCTACCCATTTGCTTGGCTTTACAAGAGAGAAAGCTGTTATCACTTGTTTTAGCCAGGATAATAATGCAAGGAAAAAACTTCATTTAGTGTTACCTTGTCGGTGTGATGCTCTTTGTGTCTGAATGTGCCCTGTTCAGTTCTGAGCAGCTTTAAACCAGTGGGAATTTCAGTCTCACAGTTGATTGTGTTCAAGTGACACAATACTTGAAATAAGCATGGATTACAAAGAACACTTCACGTACCCCGGGGGGAAAATGACAGTTTTTCAGTTTAGTGGAAGAGGGGGCTTTATGATGTTTGGACATTCCCATTATGAAGAGCTACGGAATAGCTGATAAATAACACACTGAAGAAGAGTCATAATACACAAATTGGCTCTTGATTAATATGAGTAAATAAAATGTTCCATGATAAATGCAATGATGAAACCTTTCCTTTTGGCTACCAAGGAAACAAAACAGTGTCATCACCCTGTTTGTCATGGATGTGCCCTCACACCTACCAAGCCTTTGACACGGTCCCCCACAACATCCTTCTCTCTAAATTAGAGAGCTATGGATTTGATGGGTGGACTGTTCGGTGGATAAGGAACTGGCTGGATGGTCGTATCCAGAGGGTAGTGGTCAATGGCTCGATGTCCGGATGGAGACCGGTGACGAGTGGTGTGTCCCTCAGGGGTCCGTACTGGGACCGGTGCTGTTTAATGTTTTCATCAATGACTTAGCGAGATCGAGTGCACCCTCAGCAAGTTTGCAGATGACACCAAGCTGAGTGGTGCGGTTGACACACTAGAAGGACGGGATGTCATCCAGAGAGACCTGGACAGGCTGGAGAGGTGGGCCTGTGTGAACCTCATGAGGTTCAACAAGGCCAAGTGCAAGGTCCTGTACCTGGGTCGGGGTAACCCCCAGTATCAGTACAGGCTGGGGGA